TAACTTTCTAGCAAATGGTGTATGCATAAAAGGCCATTCTGTTCCATTTTGGGTTTTTGCTGGATTATGTCATGTTTTTATTATAAGCAATTCTTTCATGACGTCAAAGAATATGATCCTTTTCTTTATTTATTTATTTTTTTGTTGCCTATATGGCTGTACTTGCTTGTTATAGGAAGTTTCTATTTTCAATGTGACTTGAGAGCCATCTATGTTATTGTAAAATATTATTTTTGGTGAGCTAACTGAAAATTATACTCTGTACAGACCTAACTAGTTCAACAAGATGAATCATTTCCCTCCAACTATTTTTTTGTTTTAATTTTTCACCAGGGGAGGGGCGGGATTTTAAGAAGCGGGAAGCGGGACGAACTATTTGAACTCAGGATTAAAACATTTTCTTCTTTTCCTTTGGAAGAATAATCAATGAAGAGATCTCTCTCCTACTGAACCCCCTTCCCCCCCCCCCCCCCAACAAAAAAAAATTGAAAAATAAAGGGTTGGCTGATAAGATTCAAACAAATGGCTTCTTTTATGTTACAGTTTCTTTTGCAGCTTACATCTTGCTTGTTTTGAATAGCAGTTTGGCACAATAATTCAAATGTTTTTTTTTTTTTTTATAATAATAACAAATCAAATGTTAAAATAAGCTAATCCAGCAATGCCACTTCTTAGAAGAATTCTGCCCCTCACAACACCCTTCTAATCTAGTGTTTTGTGTACGTGTTTTTTGGACAATAGTGTGGAAGATTGCTCTCACATAATTTCCAAATAAAATAAGATTGTCCAGTTTGGCAGGCTTTGTTTTTATATGACAAGATGGGACAATTACAGGAACTAATTGGAGACTATTTTCAGCTAACTACATCTGTCGTGTATCTCTAGAGATTGTGATCATATTGATTAAATTTTTGCTTTTGTCTTTTCATTGATATGAGAAAACATCCAATCCTGCACAGATGGCTTTATTTCCATGCTATAGATTTTCTGTCACTAGGCAGTCAATTTGATCAGAGCAACTATATGACCATTTTAACCTCTAAGAGTTTCCTGTCCTGCTACATTGAATAGGTCATGCTACATCATCTTTGTATTTGCTCTTTTTTTTTTTTTTTATTTCGTTATTTTTCCCTTGGCCTTTTTAGTAGTTGATTTTTTTTTTAAATTTTATTAAAAGGCTGATTAGAGGAAGTTGAGGGTTTACTTGTAATATTCTTGCCATTTCATTCTTCACATGAAGTGCAGATTCAATATTCTGCTATAGATTCTCTAGTGTGCTGTCTTTTACCTTATGATAGTCTAGTCAAGATCCTTGATTAGTTAATATACATATCTGTAATGTTCTGGGCTTTGTGCTAATGACGTTTTTGTCCTCGTGCCAATTACTTTTTTGCCCTTTAAAAACTGTCAGCAATCTGTCACAACTCTTTATAGAAACTATACTTATAGTTTGATCATTCTTCCAATACAAAAATATATGGCAGTCTAGCTGCACCAGGAAAATAAATACTTACATCTGTTATTTCTGCTTTATTTATAAATTCGAGACTTCTCGAGTAACATTGGAATTATAGCTAGTATGGGGATTGCACTAGTACTGCAGGGTTCTTTTGGGATGATTTGTGTGCTTAAGATCAGTCAATGTTTGGAGATGCAATGTGATTCTGGAACACTTTCAGTAATGTTAGTACTAATCTAGTCATAGCAGATGCAGAGATTACCCCGAGTGCAGGCTTATTCTGCAATGATTCATTTACCTTAGAGCAGTTAAATGTGGTTGCTGCAGGACTTTGTGTGTTAATCATGTAACTTGTATTCTAAAACACTACTCACCAAACTGAACCAAGCTGGTTGTTGTTGATCTGTTTTAATTTGATCAGCACATGGAGAACGCATACCCGGGGTCAAATATACTGGTGGTGACATTAACAAATGGGGAGTCAAAACGCGTTGAAGCTCAACCGGATGAAGAAACCTTGAGAGAAGCCATGGAAGTTCTGAGGAACATGTTTGGACCAGAAATACCAGATGCTCTCGACATTCTTGTACCACGTTGGTGGAACAATCGGTTCCAGCGCGGCAGCTATAGCAACTATCCAATCTATGTTAATCACCAACATGTTGATGACATTAAGGTCTACATTGTACCTATTACAATCTTGCAGGGTTGATTAAATTAGGTTTTGGTTGCCTTAGATTTTCTATCAAATTTGTAATGTTTTCTAGTTTTTTTGGGCTGCAGGCACCAGTTGGAAGGGTGTTTTTCACAGGAGAGCACACAAGTGAAAAGTTCAGCGGTTACGTGCACGGAGCTTACCTTTCAGGTAACTGATGCATATAACTCAGTATCCTCGGTTGGATTAATCTCAGTTCTAAAAGTTCATATCACCATGATTTTTGAGCAGGCATAGACACAAGTAAAGCTCTATTGGATGAAATGAGGAAGGATAAGGGAAGAAAGAATGAAAATCAGGCTTTTCTCCTAGAGCCCTTGCTTGCTCTGACAGAATCCTTAGCTCAACCAGATGCAGTATCAAATCTCCACAAATATGATATACCTAGAAAACTCTTTCTTAGTAGTAGTAAGCTAGGCCTTCCGGAGGCCATTGTGTGATTTAAGTGGACAGTTGGATATACACTTCTTGACAGAGATAACAATTCATTATTAGGAACGAAATTCGCCTGACAGATTTGAGGGAAGAATATAATCCAATTCATGGATGTTCTGCAACACCAAGAAAGGAAGAAGAGCAAGAAATTATGTAAATGATTAGTGAATTTCATCTCCTGAATAGGTAACAATGCAACTGGAGGCTCCGGGAGGATCACTTTGATTGGAATCTGTTTGGTTATGCATTAGATTATTCAATATAGCATGTATTGGAGGGGTCACTGACGAGATTTAAGTGTAACTAAGATGATGTTGATTCATGAATGACAATCTTTTTTAATTCCAAACGGGTGTTCAAGCATATTTTTGCTCCTGTTAGAGATAAGGCTAATTTTAACTTTTTAGAGACTAGGCTGAAGTAGACAGACAAGTGCCATGTAGAACTAAATTTTAAAAGCCCCAGTGACAGAGGGTAAGTGCTGTAAATATAAGGCACAAGGAAAGCTTTAATTCACTGCAATACAGACGAAATAAGATAGCAAATCAGTATGCATAATTTCCAGACAAAGTTTCTTGCAAGATTTACACATTAGGGAAGTTTAATCATTATCGTTAGTATATAAAAAGTATGAATGTTGGTTTTAGGGAGTGCAAGTATAAACACTTTTTTGTCTTCGTTTTAGCTATCCCTAAATTACCTTCATGTCTTTTAATTAGAATTATTGCATTTTAATATGACACTAATTAAAAGAAGTAAAACACTCCAATTGATTACATTTTAATAGTATTGGTAATTAGAATTAAAAATTGCTCATTAAAAACTATTTACCTACTCTTGGACTCCATTTCCAATTATTATACGCATCAAAATTTCTTATTTGAAGCATGAAAAATTTCTCATGAGTCATTAGTTGAGATTGCAAGAAAAAAAATCAATTTCAAAAAATAGATACTCTCTAGAAAATGGAGAAATATATAAGGACAAAAGAACCCTTATTCATCTGTATGTCTTCATACATATATCATGAGTTAATTTTACAATTATGCACTTTTTACCAATACGAAAAATTTTTCATGTTGCACCCAATGGAATTTCAATATACAAAAATTGGTGACACCTTTATAACTGAAAGAGCAGTATTAAACTAGAAAAAAGAAATCTAAAATAGAACCATACGAACCACTATCATCATTAATATATAGCAACCGATCAAAACAAAAAAAAAATTGAAAAAAATTGTAAACTATTTATAAAATGACACAAAGTAAATAGCAAATGAATTAAAAAACTAGAATACAATTCAAATAATACCAAAGACAACATCCAAATCACTAGATCTAGGGGAAGACAAACTTGAGCAAACCAAATCCATCCATCAAGTCATCTCTAATGATAAAATAAGAATTATATAAGGGTAAATTTAAAATGAAGAATGATAAAATAAAAATGATATCCAAATTGTTTTTGGTGATGTCCAAACTACCCTTATTTTTCTAATGATTACATATATATATATTGTATTGCAATATTAGTGAATAATGGAAACGGTTATGAAATGAAAAACTTTAAAATTAAGAAAATTTCATTTATGGTGACAATTGTAATTAGACATATTTAGTGCATTCCAATAATTGATAATAATGATAGCGGTTATGGATTAAAAGTTAGCAATTAAAAAATAAAACAGTGCAATGTACAAAAAATTAATATTAAAATTCTTAATTGGCCACAATTCTCATTCCAATTCCATGATCATCGAAAAACCAAAAATAGTGTGCTTATATGAAACAAGTACACTTGTTGCTTTTGTTTTGCATTGGATTGTGCTAAAAACATGAATAAAAGAAAAGCAAAATAGAAAAAACTCCAACTATCTCTATCTACAAAATTTCATTTGTTAGAATGTACAAGCCAAAAAAACTTTACGTGGTGGATCATTTAGACTCTATTATTGATAAAAATAGAATTAACATAATACAAAGAATTCAAATTACATGTATGTTTAATTTTCTAACTTAATTAGATTCTTCATTTATAAAAAATTGTGATGATTGTGGTTTATATGCAATATAATCATGAATATACAATAATTTTGGTAAAACATGATATTATCAATATTTGATATATTAGCGTTCAAGCTATAAATCAAAAAGTGTTTGGTTCATGATTTCAAATTCAATGCTAAGGGATATATCAACTACATTGGAATGTTTTCTATCTCTTTTCATTTAATAAAATTTTTAAAAGTAACTAGCTTAAAAATATATATATATATAAATACTATTATTATGATGTTGGTGATCAAAATTTCATAAAAAAATTTTAGTATCTAAAGAATAAATATATTTTAAGATATTACAATCACGTGCAAAGCACTTGAACTATTACTAGTATTGACAAAGGATTAAAATTGACACACTCAAATGTAAGAAAAAAATTGGCCATGTTATCTCTGTTCAGTAGTTGACAATTCAAGATACTTGATAGTTCTACCAGTATATCGAAGAAAAGAAATTCAGAACTCAAAACTATTTCCTGGATGTATTCTTTGGTGAGCACAATACACAATCCTGCACCGTGCAGATTTGGTAGCTGTGTAAAATGAAGATTTGAAACCAAGGCATCCTGTTCATCCCTTGGGAACTGCATGTCTATACCAAAATCTAGGAACTGAAGTTCATGTTTGGGAATACTGAAGCCTAGTTCAGGTTTGAGAGTACTGAAGCCTTTCCATAGGATGGCGAATAGGGGACAAGGCTTGAGATGATGGAAAAAAATACCACCTTAAGACAACCCTGGCACAGAAACAATGTTTCATCACAAATTTTAGAGAAACAATTGAATGTTCTAAAAAACCAGACCTGAAATCATGTTTACCTCACTGCAAGACCAGACATTTACTGATGACAGAGTTTGCAGTCAACACCTTAATAGGCATACGTGTTTTTCAGGGAAGGAACTTGGTCAGAATGAATGAGCTCTTTGGTGGACAAATTCCATGAATGAGAGCAGCAAAGGAGAATCACGGGCGACAGAGGCACAGCCACACATGTTACGAGATCAAAAAAGAATGTGAGACGTTTCATCTTTACAGAGATGTTACACCTTACAAATAAGAAGTTCAGAATGCTTAGACATGCATTTATCCGAAATTACTTGGCAGTTACATTAAACTTTCTTTAACTGGATTTTGGGTTTGAAAGAGCACTCTAGTCATTCAATTCTTCAGACTTAAAGAGCCAGGAAACTTCTCTCCACCAGCTTATCTGTAGTCAAGGAAAATCATCAAATGATAATACTTTAAACATGGTATCAGCTATATGAAACCACAAACTGGTAAAAGAATAAAGAAATTGATGTCAGTATATTAGGATCATGCCAATCAAGAGAGTACTTATACACACCACCTACTTTAGTTTTTTTTTTATTATTTAAAAAACTTTTATTTGGAGATCTGAACTATAACTTAGGATTAAACTGAACTTAGACCTGACAAAGAATCCACCATTCTAGAATTACCACCCCAAGTCTATAATTATGTGAGATCATTATTTTCTAGTAGAACTTCAAATGATATGTTTTCACTTACATTGTGCACTGTCTGCATCACAAATGATTCGAAATGCAGGGAATGTGGTCGATCTCGGACCAATTCTTTTCACAGGTCTGCTGCAGCTTAGGACATCCTCTGATCTCTAGGAAAGAAAGCATTGGTGGTACTCCCTCTTTTGGCAAGTTAAAGAGCTCATGGCATTCCATGATCTTTAGTTCCTCTAGAGAAGAAAGATGTTGCAACCAAGGAGAAAGGGACTTGAGCTTAGGTAAGTTTCCAACGTGAAGAGTGTCTAAAGTAGAAGGAAGCAACCACTCAGGGAAAACAACATCCAAGAACCCACCATGTATCTTGAGTTTCTCAAGTGATGCTAGTCTATGCAAACCCCATTTGGACAATGGTGTAATGTTCTCACAATCCTTGACTTCTAGTGAGACAAGGTTAATTGGAAAACCACCGTCTGGCAAGGAGGCGATGCTAGGACAATTGGACAGCTTCAGTTCTTTCAAAGATGTGAGGCTTAACATCAACTCTGGCAGGAACATAAGATTCTCACAATCAAGTATATGCAACTTTTTGAGGCTGCGGGAAGGAAGTCCACCTTGGGGAAATGAGACAATCCCCGGACAACCATCAATTTCCAAATAGTCAAGACATCCAAGCTTGTTTAGGCATTTGGGTAAGAAAATGAGATTTGTACAGTTACCAATCCGAAGAGATTCAAGAGACATTGAATCAGTTGCAATATCTTCTAGTGACTCCAGATTACAGCAATTCCAAATAGTAAGTACTTTTAATGTGGCAGGCAAATGGCCAGCTGGGAAGGATGTGATAGAAGGGCAGTCGAAAATCTCTAGCAGTTCAAGGGATATGTTGCTACTATGTGTAATCCCTTCAGGAAGAAACTCAAGATTGGGACACTGATCAATTGTGAGTTGCTTGAAAGTAGTTGGAACTTGCCTCCCTTCTCCTGGAAATGAAGAAAGAACTAAACACCCCCCAATACACAAGTACTCGAGGGATGTGATATTGTTTATCATTGGTTCAGGTAACAAGTCTAGACCACATCCTCGGAGCACCAGGCCTTGCAGATTAGAAGGGAATGTGGTCCCAGGAACCAACTCAAGTCTTGGACAATCTGTAATAATCAGTTCTTGTAGAGCTGTGAGGCTATGCAATGCATGTGGTAGCTTCTTCAGACTATGGCAGGAGTCCAATTCCAAGTATTCAAGTTTCTGAGGCAGCGGCTGTTCTTCCTCAAACAATGATACCAACATAGAACAATTACGAATCACAAGATGCTGAAGAGACGTTAAATATTGCATATCGTTCTTGCATCTTGCCAGATGTACAAAGTCAGAACAATCAACAATGACCAACCACTTAAGTGTAGGCATATATTGCAGCAACCACTCTGGTAGATGCTTCAGACTTGAAATGTTGTGAAGCTCAAATGAAGCAAGACAGTTGATTGCAAGATTACTGCTAAGTAGCATATAGTTACAGCCTCTTAAGTTCAAAATCTTCAGTCGTGGAATCTGAGGAAGTGAAACAGATAACTGCTCACATTCGGTTAAGTGTAGCTTTACCAATGAAGGTAGTTGCTGAGGTAATTGCTGTCGCAGTTTTGGACACTTCTCAATTTGAAGTTCCTGGAGACTGGGAAATGCTTCCATATGGCCATCACTAGTAGGTAAGAGCCACTCCTCCCATTCCATCATCTCCTCAAATGTTAGAGTCTCTAGTGATGCAAAAGTTTTTGAAGAAGAACTGCTATACCCATAAAACTCAGCACCAATACTCTTTACTGCATCCATACCTTTAATATAGAGATGCTTGAGTGAAAGTAGAGATCCAAGTGGAGGTAAAGATCTGCATCTTTTACAGTCAGTTACACTCAGACACTCCAACTTAGAGAATGAAGGGTCCCCAATCCAAGTTGGAAACTTTCTACCATTGTATCCCTTAATTGTCAACTTTTCTAGATTTTGGTGGGGTTGTAACATCTCAAGGACATCTGTTGCAACTCTATCATTTTGCAACTCACTTAAGGTGCTGCTCCACTCCATCACCAATGTGGTAAGTTTTTGCTTCCCTTTTAAGTTTGCATTTTTGGCATCCCACAAATTGTCCACATTCTCTAACCCTGATAGTGAAAGTGAACCCTGAAGATGCGACAAGTTTCTTAATCCATCAATGCGAGAACCAACAATGCCCAAGCCAAATTCAGGTAGAAATGGAGGGGTGACAACATTATCCACTCCTATTGGCATCTCTTGTGTTGCACTTCCACGAGGACCAACGTTACCCAAAACAAATTCAGGTAATGATCGTAGGCTAACCAAATTTTCTACTCCAATTGGCATTGCTTGTATCCCACTTCCACTGATGTCAAGGTGCCGCAAATTAATCAATTTTCCAATATTAGCTGGCAAGTTATTAAGATCAGCACAGTCACATAATAAAAGTGTTTGTAGATTGTATAGAACATTCAAAGATTCAGGAAGGCTCTTGATTCTAGTATAAGAAAGATCAAGGTATCTTAAAAGTCTCAAATTCCCAATGGATTCTGGGAGTTCAGTAATGAAATAACAACTCATAGATAATACCCTTAGACATTTGAATTTTGGCAGGAAGTCACAGGGAAATTTATTACTCAGGAAACAGAACTGTGTTCCAGAAACTGATCCTAAAGGTAAAAAGGTGCGCAAAGACACCTCAGTCAGTGATTCAAATCTTTTGAAGACATCATATTTGCTGCGAAATGTAAGAGAAATGATGAACTTTTTCAGACCATTCAAGATGCTCTCTTTGCCAATTCTCCTCTTGCCTAACACATGATATCCTTGATACACTTCCAGCTAAATCATTTATCAAATCGTGCATGACATACCGAGATCTATTGAGCGCAGACTCTTGAAAAAATGACCTTGACAGTAGCTCTGAAAAGTACTCGTCACCCACCTCTTCCATACTAATTTTCGCTCCTGGCTGCACAAACCCTTCTGCCATCCACAGCAAGACTAAGTTTTTCCTTTCAAATTCATAGCCTTTGGGAAATATTGAACAATATGCAAAGCACCTCTTCAAATTGGGAGGTAGGTGATGGTAACTCAGTCTTAGAGATGGCAGAATGGAATTCTTTTTTTGAGGTAAATCCCACAGGTTGCTATTCAAGACTTGATTCCAATAGACGGCATCTAATTTTGAAGCCAATAAGCCTCCTAGCATCTTCACAGCCAAAGGCAAGCCCTGACACTTCTTTACTATTTCTCTACCTATTTGTCTCAAAGACAAGTACTTTTCTGAGTCTTCATTTTCCAGCGTGTGATCTTGGAACAACAACCAACATTGTGTATCTGACAATTCCTTAAGACGATAAGCTGGGAGTGCCTTCATGACTCTTAGAACCCCTTCGTTACGAGAAGTCACAATGATCCTACTCCGTGGATCCCCATCCATGAAAGAGATTGATAACTCATTCCAATTCTCAAAATTCTCATTCCAAACATCATCTAAAACAATTAAAAATCTCTTTTTGTTCAAAGTTTGTTTTAAGCCCCTCTGAAGAAGCTCCAAGTTCATTGTATCACAAGGTTTAGCAGTTGATGATTCCAATAGTGCCTTGGTTATATTTATCGAATTGAAGTCATCTGAAACACAAGCCCAAGCTTTTACATCAAAAGCCTCATCTATCCTCTTGTCATTGTAAACAATCTGAGCTAGTGTTGTTTTGCCAATCCCACCCATACCCACAATTGGTATTACAGAGAATCCCTGGTTATTAGTTCCATCATCAGCTAACAATAAATTTATTATGTCCTCCTTTTCGTTCTCCCTGCCATAAATGCAAGATTCAACAACCAATGGAGTTGTTGGAGTTCTGTGCATCATTCCATGTATCCCTTTTCCACTACTTTCCAAACCAAGAATACCCTTTTGTTTTGCAATGAATTCCAGTTTTTCAATAATCTTCTCAATCTTGACATTCATTCCTTCATCATATGGACTAAAATTATTTGCAAGAAAGTTCTTATTCCTTACCTGATTTGAAAGGCTTTGAGGGCTAAGCTCCACTTTGCATCTCAAGGCTTCAGTGGCCAGAAAATCCAGTGCATCTTCAGCTTCACAAACAGCATCTTTCAGCATGTCCAGCCATGTCTGTATTGCTGGATTGAAGTACTGCTTCTCCTCTGCATCATCGAGCACCACTGTGCAGGTGAAATAAGCAATCTTCAGCTTCTCAAGAAGCAAATCATTTATGTTCCATCTTCTCAGAAGCTCTAGGATGTCTCCTGAAGCTAATTTGTCAAACAAAACTTGAAGGGCTGGTGATAAAACTGCCTCCCACCAAACCATGATCTTCTTCTTTAGCAGAGAGTCAAACGAGGAACAAACAACTCACAATTGAAAAATGTTATGATATTTTCCAGCTTCAACCGCATTATAATTTGCGCTATTACTTCTGATAAGTCAACGTCAACTTTTATGGGATAATTTACTCTTTTACTATATAGACATTGGAAATTTTGGACCAAATTGTTATGTCATAAGTCAAGCAATGCAGTTCTACTCTTAAAAGGTATAAAATGATTTGTCTCAATTGGATGACTAGTTGGAAAACAAATGATATTATTGCCAAAGCTCAAATATTGACGCCACAATAAAATTTTGTTAAAACTCCACAATTGCCTTTTAAGACAAATTAGGCATTGATTTGAAAGGGTTTGTTATGTTTCCTATGGCATTCATAAGGATGAGAGTTGGAAAATCAAACACAGAAATGTGCTTGCAGATTGACTTCAAATGCTAATTAACATGTTACCAATCTTAAGGCCTTGTTTTGAGTTGATAGTTTTAGTTGATTATAAATTCTGATTATAGAGATAATCAGTTTTTAATAGTTAAAAATTTTAAAATCCTTAATCAATTAAAGAGTAACTCTTGCTGATTCTGATTATGAAAAGCTGTTTTTGAAAAGAATCAGAATCAGCAAGAGTTACTCTTTAATTGATTAAGGATTTTAATAATTTTAACTATTAAAAACTGATTATCTCTATAATCAGAATTTATAATCAACTAAAACTATCAACTCATAAGAAGCCCTTAGTTTAATTGTCTAAGTTCACCAGCCAAAATTTGCAAATTCGTTAAGATCTCTTTAATGTCATCTTCTAAAATGACTTCCAATTTCCAAAGAAGCCTTTTTACTTGAACTAAAGCGGAATCAGTCTTAATCGGGAAAGCTTCTATGTTTACTTGACTAAACTCCAATCTCAGAGGGCTGCTGAATCAGAATCTAAGTGTGCTCATTACACGTTTCATTTCTAATGCTAACGGACATCACAAGTTGTATTTGTGCATGTTACACCTTCAAAAGATTTGACCCGCGATGAAGCTTATTCTCAATCGTTTCACTGACTAACCTTGACCCCTATTATTTTGAAATCATATCTAGTATTCAAAGTTCGTCTCAAATCTTCACTCCCGAGTAGGAGTTGAATTCTGCAAACGCTCCTTGGTTGAATCCAAATTAGTCTCACTGAGGGTGAGGATACCACATGCTCATAGCAAAAAAAAAAGGGCCTTTACTTCCGAAAAAACAACCAAAAAAATTAAATTCAAACTTGTTAGAAAAAAAATTTTAAATGAAATTTACGAGCTCCATAAAAAATATATAATTAAATGTAAATATTGTTTGTTTTGTAGAATTTGCCTTTACTAAAATGCTGTCGGTAGTAAAATCTTATTTTAAAATCTCTACTAAAATCTTATATTTCGGAGAAATGTTAGAGAAATTTTATTTAAAAATCTGTAATTAGCAGAGGAATAAATTTTTTTTATTTTAAAACTTGCACGTGCCTAAAGTCATCAAATATGTGCTCTAAAAAAAATCATATTCACAATAATCTTTTTAATATAATTTACTATACATGCATATTTCTTTTATAATAAAAAAAATTGGTAATTGTATGGTTGGAAATACGTTATTTTATTATAATACATTTAAATGGTGGAAAAAGTACACATGCATAGTTCTTTCTATTGCATAGATCAATGTAAAAATAGAATGAAATTGTTAACATGTAAGGTGTAGACTATTTTTTATAAAAAAAATATTAACTTTTTTTCCTTTTTTATCAAATAAATTTTTTTGATCAAATTCTAATTTTCCTTTGTTATTAATGAATCGTATTTATTTGTTGACACCGATGAATATTAGTTATAAGAATCTAATAGTTAATAGTCATTAATATATGTTACAATTTCAACTGTAATTTTAGAAATTTCATAACGCAATGTTATTTAAAAAAATTATATAAGTTATTTTTATGAAGTGCATGTTATTTGTTTGGTAGTTGAAAAGGAAAAGAAAAAAAATTAAATCAAAGATCTAGCGATTAAATCTTGCGTGTTTTACCTTTTACAATTGTTGGCAGGATAACTATTTTGATTAAAAATATAAAGCGATAATCAAGACAAAGTTATTGTCATGCAAAAATCCTAAAAGCCTAAGTGCTAAAGCCGTAAAACACTAAATTGTAAATCTTAGAAACCAAATTCTTGTAAACCCTAAAACATTAAATCAAGGTTGTTGGGTTTATTAAAATCTATTAAAAAATATTTTTGCGGCACGATAGGATTACTATTTTAATTAAAAATCTAAAGTCCTAATCAAGGCACACTATTGTCAAACTAAAATCTTACAACCATAAACCCGAAAATGCTATTCTCCTAAAACACTAATTCTTGATCTCTGAAACCCTAAAATCCTGAATCCTAAAAGCCTCAAACCCTGAGTGCTATCTCTAATGTAGTCAGTAGCAGAATCAAAGATATGATATTTTCTTTTGTCTACAACTCATTTGGTCTTCTCTTTTGTTGCAGAAGCATGTGCCACCGATTTCTGTACCTCAAAATAGCTGAAAAAGTTGTGAGAAAGGTACAGGAAAACGGCTGTGCCACTTTCTAAAGAGAGAGACAGATCCGAGTCTCGGATCCGAGGGTTGAATATAGATCCGAACTCGGATCTTTAGGATCCGAGAACTTCCCATAATGGATCCGAGGTCGGATCTTCTGACCTCGGATACACTCCTCCAGAAGTACAAACGAGGGATCGGATCTCTCTTTGCTCTCACGGATCCGAGCTCAGATCGGTTCCATTAAATTTCCAGTTTTTTCGCTTCTTTCGTTTTTCCTTCATTTTTGCTCCACAATTTCTTGTGTACTTTATCCTCTGGACAATTCTTACACTTCTTTCAGCTCGTGCATGAACTTCATACATCGATATCCTTCACAATTTCACAAAATTAATGCATTTATCCACTCATTTAATCCACTCATTAATCAACTCACAATTTCACAAAATTGAACATTTTGGCCATTAACTTGAAATTTTAAAAAATATTTTTAAAAAATTTTGACAGAGTTTCCTCTAAAAAATGGACAAAACTCCCTGTCAACAACCTCAATTTCAAGAAAATTAACCTCATGACAATATTTTCAAATACAAATCCAACATTTTTAAGCCATAGACAACTAAAATCATACATTTCAAAATACAAACATCCATAAAATAAAGTAATCCCTCCCCCACACTTATGATTGAACAATGTCCTCATTGTAGAGGAAAGTAAAAGAAACTGAAACTTCCCTCAAAATAAGTGGTGATTCATTTTGAAGCCATAATTCCTCACGATCATCCAAATTCTTTCCACAATGAAACAAAAGGTACGAAGAACCATAAGTAGCACAAGAGAATCCAATATAAAAACTACAAAGTTTAAACGGAGCACAATAAAAGAAAAATAAAGAGCAGCTAAGGATCTTCATCTTCATGGCTGCTCGGAACGAGGGTCTACTGCCTCCTCAGTGCCTGGAGGACCCTGTGATGTACCAATATGCCCCTCCTCCTGCTGAGGCGTCGGAGTAAGTGACCGGCGGATATGAAAATGATTCTCGATCGCACGAAGACGGCGATCATGTCTGTCGAGTCGCTCTATCATCATCCTCTCGGTCTGGTCAATGCGCTCGACGACTCGTGTCTCCATACAGCTGATGGCATTGAGGAGCTCTTGCCATTTCGATCGCGGCGGAGGTGGTGGTCGTGAAGCGCGAGGAGGAAGAGTCTGTTGTGCCTCCGTCTCTTGAGCTTCTAGTTCCTGCTGAGTGTGAGGTGGGGGCTGAGCAGAAGTCGAAACTTCTCCAGTGTCTCGAAAAAGGGCAGCTCCAAAATCTGTAGAGATACTCAAGGATTTGAGTATCGAGACACTGACCTCGTCGGCGGATCTGGTGACAATGGCCCGCTCGATTCCAAGAGGAACTTTGAGCTTCTAAAAAATGAGGGATAGCAGTCGAGGGAACCCAAATCAAGTCTCGCCAGCCCTCATGCGAGCTGTGGTCCGCATGTAACTAATGATGATGCTGGGCAAAGGAATACCAGTCAACTGCTCACCCACACCATGCATCATCTTATCCAAGAAGTAGAGGTCACTATTGCGGAGCACACAATTTCCACTCCTCTTGGGTACTACATTGAAGGCGAAGAGATAGAAGATCAAGTGGTACCTATGCTCGAAGGAGTCGGCATATACGGTGAGCTTCTTTGAAGTTCCTCGCTCCCTATATTGACCCTTTAGACGTGCTACCGCTTCTCCCACCTGCCAAGGGTCGCGTGCCTTGAATTCCTTAATCAATTTAACATCCACTCCTTCGTCTTTGAGTTTGACGATTTTGGCGACTGTATCCCGGTTAAGAGCCACTCTTTTTTCTCGAACCCAGAAGACGATGAGATTGCCACTGTGACTCTGTTTGTTTTCTACATTGGCGTAGAACTCTCGGACCCGATTGGGATAGTAGTGCTTGGGCAATTGAAGGATGTTCTCTCATCCGAGTCGCTTGAATGTCATAGAGATGTGGTAGTGCGCATCCACCTCCGGTGCCAGATGCTTTTCAATGATAATTTCCTTATCCAAGCCTGTTTCATACCACTGTTGATTCTCAAGTGACGTGAATCTAGAGGTATCATAATCTAGAAGCGGCTCGTCGCGGCTAGTGGATGCGGTCTTCCAGCGAGACAGAGGTGATGGCTCAGGCGAAGGAGATTCTTCCTCAGGCGACTCTTTATGTGAGGGAGTGCACTCCTTGCTTGAAAAGGGCGAAGGAGTGCGAATAATAGCCCTTCTTGTGCGAACCATTGTGCCTATATTAAGAACAAGATCAATGTACATTAAAAGCAATCTAAATTCCTTGAAAATACATTCCAAAAAAAGAATGTTGAAAAGTAATTTGAAAAATTTCGGCAGAGTTTCCCCTTATAAAAGGACGAAACTCCCTGCCAACAATCAACAAATTGAAGCAAATACTCTGCTTAACACATTCTGAAATCCACTTTTAACATTTAGAAGATATATTTTCAATAAGGAAATCAACCCT